CCGACCTTGCAGTTCAAGCGACTTCGATGTCTGACGCATTGGCCCACAGCGCCACACCAAGATTCCCTTATTGTTAGGTGCTGTCGAGTCCGTTCTGACTCATAAAGATCCAATCCTGTGGCAACCTCACAAGTATTGTTACCCTTTAGTCCGTTGCTACTGCCGCTATGTTAATCCATCTTGTTTGGGGTCTCCCTCTTTTGTACTGACCCTCTACTTTATCAAGTATAATGCCCTTCTCCAGGAACAACCAATCATGGGAACTGGGCACCATATCATCTCATGGACTCACTGAAAGTCAGGGGCCAACTAGACAATAGGTAACAACAACAGGTGTTTAGGTCAGATTAAAATATCAGTGATGAGGACTCAGAAGAGAGTCAGATAATGCTAGAAAGATAGAATGTAAAATGCCAAGAGAAAGAGCTTGCCCTGTTCCCTGTGGGCAATGGGATGAAGTCTGAGACTTGACTACAGTGAGAAGAGGTGAACAACAGGTCTCCCCTGTGGAAACTCCTGCCTACACCCCATTCCTCATGTGTCAGGAGGTGCCCCCAGCCTCCAAAGGGGCTCAAGAGGGTCTTCCCAGAGGTGTCACCCAGTGACCATGTTGCCCTGAACCATTAGTTGAACAGCCAGTGCCAATTAGCAGAATGCAGAGAAGGAGCAATCGGGGAGGGAGCCAAGCAAAGAGAAACATCAGTTTATAATTAGGTGGCCTAATCACCTGTGTAAATTGTGTATTTCTTATGATCGATGTGCTAAACGGCTCAGGTTTAATTAAGTTCTGCTGACTCGTTCTCTTTGAAGACTCACTGAAGTGTGATTCACAGCTCGTACAATTAATAACAGGGAGAGGAACAGCTTGAAAAGGGTGGCAGTTCCCTGCTGCCTTCCTCCACCCCTTCCTCAAAGCCCCCAATGCACACTCCCCAGGTGCCTTGGCCAGCCACAGTGTATTGCCTGGACCATGGCTATTGGCTTCTCAACTTTGGTGCCAAGAACCTTCTATGGAGTTGCCAGGCATGAGCGGAAACTAGTGGAAGTTCTCATTGCCAATGCATTGCTTCTCCCAGGATGGTCCATTCTGTATCAGAAAATGAGTCGCTGACACACTTATTGTCCTCTCTGAGCAGGATCCAGGACATCCTGTCCCTTCCTGATGTTTAAGAATCGCATTTCTTGCATGGGACTGTTCCATCAGCTTGGAACACATATTTCCAGTCTCTTCTAGCTCCATGATTCTGTACTAAGTCCTCTGTTCTATAGTCTTCTCTGATCCAGATTCCATTAATGCTGTTCTGCCTTGTTGAGGGTCTTAGTCTTTTTCTCTGACCTTCCACTTTACTAAGCACGATGTTCTTCTGCAAGGACTGGTCCCTCCTTATAACATGATAAAGTACATGAGAAAAAGCATCATCATTCTCGCTTCCAAGAAGCATTCTGGGTATACTTCTTCCAAGACAAATGTATTTCTTTTTCTGGCAGTGCATTCACCATTCTTCACCAACACCTTATATTCACATGCATCAATTCTCTGTCTTTCTTATTCATTTCCAGCTTTCACAAATATATGCAGCAATTGAAAGTACCATGGCTTTAGTGAGGCACACCTTAGTCCTCAAAGTGACATCTTTGCTTTTGAACTCTTGAAAGAGTTCTTTTGCAGCAAATTTTCCCAATGCAATACATCATTTGATTTCTTGACTGCTACTTCACTGGTGTTGGAGTAAAATAAAATCCTTGACAAGGAGTGTCAAATACTGTGTGGCAATTAGAAGAAATTGCAACACAGGTGGAGAAACTTAAAACTTAAAAACTCAATAATCCAAGAGGAATGTAAATCTGATGATTTGGTCTGTAAACCTTCACTCAATTCACAATAAAAGGTAAAATAAAAAGAGAGAGAGGAAAGCTGCAGTAGAGAGAGCGATCAGGGTCAGGAAAGTGCATGTGAAGCATGGGACAAGCAAACCCACCAAGAGGAACAAAGCTATCAGACAAGAGATAGACAAACCCATGAAGATGAGCAGAACTTCCAAAGACAGTACAGGCAAATCCATGAGGATAAGAAGGACCATCAGAGACAAAACACACAAACCCATGAACAATCCCATGGAATCCAGCAAGGTTGACATACCAGAGAGAAATTCCACATGAATGTGGAGGGCCAGAGCCAAGGCTCACAGGGAAGACATAGTTAGTGACCCAGTTGCCCATCCAACCCAGGGCAATGGGAGACCCCAAAGAAAAGAACAAGGTAGAAGGCATCCTACCGAGGCAATTGTTTCTTCCAACTCCCTTTATGACTACATCCAAGAACAGAAATCACGTGAGTACGAGGCTGTGCAGTAACCAAAGCTAAAGCAACATGAAGCCAAGGAAGAAATCTACATGTCAAGTTGTCCTTCCCTTCTTGTAAAGAGCTTGACAATGTGTGTCTTCTCTCTATCCTACAATCTATGTGCATGCAGTGATTCTTTTGAGTACCAATATTCACTTTTTTTTTTTTTTTTTAAGTTTCTATTATGAATTGAGTGAAAGTTTTCAGGGCAGATAATCAGTTTTACATTCAACAAATCATATACTTTGTTTCATTACAATGATTATAAT